ATTAACAAAATATGTGAATTAAAAGTTTTAGTCTTTATTTTAAATACTATATACATGTGTTATTTATTTTATGTTTAATAAATAAATACAACTTAAAATATGTGTCAAAATAAATTTTATGTAATGTTGTGTTTAAATTAAACAATAAAATATTATGCCAAGTAGAACTTTCATGTGTTATTTAAATTTTGTTAAATAAACAAAAATAAATGGCAAAATATAAATGTTATTTCATTTATTTGTTTTTACTCAAATACAGTTTAAAATTTTTAAAACTTATATTTTATATTATATGAACTTACTGAGATATAATAATAAAAATATTTGTCATAAAACAATTATGGTAAAATAAATAAATAAATAAAAATTGAATTATTGGATCAAACTTTTTTTTTCAAAATCTTGTGTTTAAATTTACCTCATCTTTTGTGTCAAAACATCCTATTTGATTCTTATTAAATTCTTATTTACTCTTTCTATTTAATCTTATTTAATTCATATTAGTAATATTGGTTGTTATAATAAATAATAAAATAAATATAAATTGTACTGAATAAATATTCCTTTTACTTTGATATAGAATTGTTTTAATAAATTTCCAATTTTAGATTCTAATTTGGTTATTGAAGTCCTTACATTATAATATTATTTATAAACGCATCATTTTTGCACGAATTTTGTATAAGATTTCAATTTTCAAATTTCGCGCTTCTTTCTTTGTTATAACAATCTGTCAACTTCAAGCGATTGCAATATGTCAAAAAATATTAGGATATAATTGCAAATGGCGACAGGATATACTGTAATTATTATTACATATTATATTGTCAAGGATATACTGTTATTTTAAATATTAAATATGTGTTATTATACTATGTTTGTGTAAAATGTGAGTGGAAATATGTGTTTTGGGATAGAAGAAACATCAATAGAGGTAAGTACCAAGTTATACTATTTTGTATGATGCAATGTTTTATATGCATGGTTTATGTTTGAGGTTATGTACAAAAAAATTAAATACAAAATACAATTCGGACTGATTGAAGACTTATATACGCTTGTATTTGTGATGTTCAATTAAACAATAAATGTGCATTAAATTATGTATTTTCTATTTTATAATTTATATATTTTGAGGTTTGTTATTGACAATAGTAGATCGATTGGTTGGATTTTTATTATATCTTAATGCCGAATTTTTAAATCGGCTTAAAGTACACTTTAGATTAATTTGTCAGCTGAATTTCAGAATTTTGTTAAATATGTTAATAACATGACGTTGAATTATATTTGTCAAACTTAACTAATAGTAAAAAGTCTAATATCATATAGATAAAATCATAGATAAAAGAAGAGTAATAATAAGGATAAAATACTAACTAAAATTATTTTCAAATTGCCCTCCTGTTTTTTCTACCACCTGCGGTTATCTTCAGGTCATTGCAAAACGTCAAAAAATGCATTTTATTTCGCCATTTTGTAATTGCAATAACAATTAGTTACGTCGTTTATTAGGTAAAATATTTATAAAATGTGCATGTACATGTGTATTTTGTGATAAAAGAAATATTAAAATTATTAAGATATGTACCACTTTATATTATTTTATAATAAGCTTGTTTTATCTGTGTGTATCCTGAGTCAGGACATATTGGCTGAAGGATTATTCACGTTTGTATTGGCGATATTGAATTAAATCACTAATGCCCTGTTTTAATATCCTATTTGATGTCCTGCCTTTGTGATTCATTTCTTGTCTTAGAATAAACAGTAAAAGAAATTCTGAAAAAAATATTATAGTATCTTCGGTAAAAGAACAATATCACACTTGATTTTACCACAAAACATAATTGCTTCAAATAATTTAGTCTAGATTTCCATAATCTAAAGTACATTTTTCTTTCTAATAATTTAATAAACATTATTGTTCATGTTCAAATCTTAGGTGAATTAATTTGTAAAATTTAGTTCATATGAGCACTTCAATCTAAAATCAACTTGCTAAATATTCAATGCCAAACAAATAAATTTTTGACAAATGAAACAAAATTCTAAATCATTTTTTAAATAAATAGATATTTTTCTGTATTGTTGAATAATTTAGTAAAGTAAATCGATATGCGACATGCATAATTTAAAAAAAAATAATGTCTATGTAATTTTAGACTTATTGCGTTATTTATTAGACTGAATTATATAATTTCATCTGCCAAACATATACTGTTGACTGTATCTTATATTATTTTAATTTCTGGCACATCTCAGCTGCTTTTTGGCAATAATAATAAAGACAGTACATTTTGCTTGTACATTATATTCTAATATTATCTAGGCTCATAATTTCAGCTAAATTCAAATTTCAAATGAATTGACATTTTTAGCAGATCAAATATTTTCAAACAATGATAAGTGGTTTTTTGTAATTTTTGCTATTTATTTCTATAATACTACTATAGTTTTATTGTTCTGAAAAATTTTCTTTGACAAACTCTAAAAAGAATTATCAAAATCCAAAAAGCCGTTTAGGAGAAGTATCAAATCATACACTCGTACATAAAAATTTTATATATAAGATATATATATATATATATATATATATATATATATATATATATATATACATATATATATATACACATATATACTCGTATATATACAAATGTGTATATAATGTATTTAGCTTCGACTATAAATTACTATTTTCTCAGAAACAAAAATCAAACCTTTTAGAAGATTCTTTCAAAAATTCCAGGATCATCATATATTACCATTAAACATTAAAGTTCTAAGAAGGGATGTATGTCTAGACAATTTTCTTCGAAACAAAGTAGTCGATAAAATGTGCTAAATTCCATCTGATTTTCAGAATTATTTATTAAAAAATATACAAACAAATCGCTTGATCAATTTAAAAAAAAACAAGAATTATAATAAATAAATAAAAGGTATACAGATATTCAAATATTTTTTGTATTAAATAAATAAAAATAAAAATTATATAAATATCATTGAGTAATAGATAATTTCTTTTTTGTCGTAGTGATATAAAATAATTAGCGAGTTCTAGAGAGATTATTTAATTTTAATTGATTTTTACAATGATATAGATTTTTTATTTTTATTATTCTGAATAATTTATATGAGACGAGCAATAGAGTTGTTTCTACAGATGTTATTTTTTGATGATTTTTAAAGATTGGTTAGTTTCTCCAAAAGTTTTCTTTAAATGCCTGAAAAAGATTTTTATAATATGTGGTAATAAATATAAACTACAAAGTAAATTTCAATAAAATATTTCGTCTTGTTTTATTGTCATAATAAAAATATAAATAATAATCACATTTATAATGATCCACTTACAACTAATTCTTAAAAACTAGAAATATAAAAATAACGGATTCGACATTGGTGAAGATAACAAAATGATATTTGTACTAAAATATTTTTAAATAGTTTCGTAGTCGTTATTTAAGTAATCGTTGCCCTTAAAACTTAACATATCGTGGAATAATCGAAAAATCTATTTAAAAATACAAAATGTACAAAAATGCAACAACTTCTTGACTACCTTCCTAAAGGTGCAGTCACACTGTGCGAATTTCATATGCGCGTAGTGTGACTGCATCTTTATGAATGCCTCTTTCTTTACAACTAAAACAATTGAACACAGTGCGATTTTGTGAGTTTCGAAAATTTCAGAAAATTCTATAAATTATGTATCACATTTTTTCGAAATTTTGTTTTATATCGATAACAGCCAAAACGAAAAAACCTCTCGAAAACGAGAAGCGAACGCAATACAATAGTTTTTTTTAATATTAATTTAAGTTACGCCATGGATATTAATTGTCATCACTAAAATGTCATCGAGTCTTTTTAATTAATAAAACATCAACATTTAAACGTTTACTTAATGTACAAGTAAATGCATAAATTATCATAGTTTATTAATACTTTTGATCAAAAAAGCAGTCCTGCAATATCACTAGAAATTGCATAATTATAAATTTCAGACTAGCTTCCAAAAAATACTTTTTTACAATTTCTGGATGACATTCAAGTTGAAATTTTACAAAAATTTCAATTTGAAAATGGAAAAAAACTCACGCTCCTGACTAGTACTATCTAAGTTGTTTTAATAATAATTGGTGATGGTGTTTTATATCTACAATTAATACTTAAATAATTATGAACACTTTTTTGAGGATTAAATTAAGAGATTTTCATGGCCGTCTACTCTTCTCTCGCCGAATTCGAGATATCCAGTATAATGCTTTTAAAAAGGTTTCAGAAATCTATCCAAAAATTTGGACCAATATATTTTCAAACAATATTTCGGTGGTTTTATTTTCATTCCTGGTTAGATTTCTGAAATCTACATTACACATAGTTTTTACTTTTATTTTCTCACTTTTGGTTTAATCTTAAATTTGGTTTTTCGAATCTAACTTATAAATTCACTGCCGAATAAATACCGCATTTGTTTTCAAATTCGCGAATTCTCAGAAGTTCGTTCACCAGGCTCTTTCTCATTCAAAATTCAATCATTCACATTCACAACCCTTACTTGATAATTTGTCTTTTTCGTTGTACTTAGAAAACTACATAAATATATAAATAACAATGTAACGACTATGAAATGTATGAAGTGTGAAATATAACGAAATGAAATAGAACGTCCAACAATTTTGGCATAAGAAATAACACCAAAAAATTATCATTCTGTTCATCACATGCCACCAGATCCTGCAAACTTTGGCACATTCTTCTTGTCTTAAGGCACTATAACGTTTCCACAATCTTCTAGTTGTACTTGGAGAAATAACCAAAATTTGGTAACAAATTTGGCATTCCGAAACATGGATATTTATAAACGATTTCTAACTTAATATTAATTAAGTCTTATACTTTTAGAAAACGAGTATTTAATTTAAATACACAATTTCGTGAAAATTATCATGATTGGCACCATCGTCATCAATGATTCCATGATAGTTTTTCTAGTGTGCTCCAATATTCCTAAAAACTTCCTGAGATGAAACCAATGGTGCATTTAACGGCCTTGGTGTCAGTACAACTTGGAATTGATCAGGACTGATTGTGATTCCAACGTTTCCTTTTAAACTAGGAACAGTTGCTCCTTCGGGTAAAGAAACATTGAAGGTATGCATCAGTGATGCAAAGAACAAGAAAAGTTCCATTCGTGCCAGGACGTCTCCAAGGCACATCCTTCTTCCGACTCCGAAAGGCATGAAGTATTCTGGTTTGTGAACTTTGCCTTCGGCATCTATGAACCTTCCTGGATTGAATTCTTCTGGTTTATCCCATAACGTGGGGTCCATGTGGACACTGTTGATCAGGGGCACCACTTGGGATCCGGCGGGGATCAGGTAACCATTGAGATGGACATCTCTGTAAAGGAAAGAAGAGAAATGATTAGACTTTAAAATAAAGGAAATTTAGTAAAAGATTATTGTTTTGTTAACTAAAACAGGGACTTATCAAGATTTTTGTAATTATACTAGATGCCCGACAGACGTTGTCCTGTACCCTACAACTCAAAAGTTCCAGTTTTCTTTAATAACCTATACTGATATTTACCAATTAGTTAGAAATTATTATGTTTTTTACACTACAGTCTACACCGAAATTTATATACATCCATATGGGTGATCTTAAATGTGCAACTGATTTAAATAAAATGATGAGTCCCAAAACCATCAAACAAACAAATATTGAAATATGTTCAATAAAATAGTATATTAGAAATATACACTACAATTGATTGAACAAATTTATTTCCAATAGCTCAATTTATTTTATTGTCCAGGGTTATCCAATATTTTTGGTCATGAAAATGTAAAAGTATAAATAAATGATTTTTTGTTTATTCACGACTAAAACATCAATTTTCCAAATTCATCACACCTTTGTGATTTATAGTATAAGATATACGTATTGGAAATTGCAGTCTTTTAAACAGTATAACGAATTCAGAGAGAATTTATATATAGTATCTGCGGTTTTTGAAGATATTTGCAAAAAACGAGGAAAAACGCAAAAAAACGAATTTTTAGTAGCCAGTAACTTGTAAAGTTTTTGCATTTTTGAAAAAATAAAATTACACTATTGAGAAGGGATGTCATCCCCCCGGAAAGTGACAAAGAAGTCTAAATTATTTTCACTTTTGAACTTGAGAGTAAGATAAACCTAATTCCAAAAATTCATACAAATTGGAGCACAGTAAAAAAAATCAGACCCAAAACGCTTCATTGACTTGAGTAAATATTCCGTATCCAATGCCAAACATATGAATGAAACTACTAAATGATTTTTTGAAAAAAAAATTTTTTTGTATTGTCATTTTGTAAAGTAATTTAGTAAAATTTATTTCAAAAGATTTGCAATATTTAACAAAAAAAATGATGTTACTAAATTTAGCTTAATAAATTTAGTGGCGATTGGCGATCCTCAATGCATTATAATAAATTTACATTTCTTTCGACCGATCCCACGTTGCAAAATATTTTTGCATGTGATTTTAAAGATGTATAAATATTGCTTTATATCACATACATTAAGTTATGTGTTACATACACGAAATAGGTTATTTTTGCGAATTATCATTCAGTGCACGTTAACGAGTAAGATATTTCAAAACCGGTCTGTTTGTACAACAAATCAACTACAATACACACGAATGCGACGTAAAATCCCGATAATATAGAAACTCATTGTATTGTGTAACTTAAAAATTAAGCAAATTTGATTGTAATAGACACATCTGCATCCAAATGCTGATAAGATAAAATGTGAGCAAGACAATGATGCTGGTAAATCATCGGTCTTTGTTAGAAATGTTGTTATTTATTTTAATGACATTGTGATTCATTTGTATATTAATTGTTTCTATTATTAAAATTACGCACTTGCCAGAAACTAGAACTAGTTTGGACAACAGTTGAACGTTTTGTCTAAATCGTTGCCCCCAACAGAAATTACTCTAATCAAATCCAATAACTTTAATCATATATATTTTCTGGTAAAAATTCTTACCTTGTGGGTGAGTGCGTCGTAGCCAGAGGAACAATACTTGATCTTCTCATAGCTTCTAAAATTGTACTTTCTGTAGTTGGCAAGAATGGCAAATCTTCTATCCTTGGTAAACGATCACGTCCCACAACTTGATCCAATTCTTCCTGAACTTTCTTCATGGCATCCGGATGCCTTAACATGAACACATTGATCCATAACAATGTCGTTTTGATGGTTTCCATGCCGGCTGAGAAAAGATCGCCTATGATCTGCATAATTTGTTGATCTGTAAAAGATAGCACATGTGTTAAACACTTTATTTGGAAATTATTGATATAAGTATTTTTTTGGTTCTGGTGCTTACCGTGATCTTTTCCTTCAAACAATTCTCCATCACGTCCTTCTTCTTTGGCTTTTTGGATTTCCGCGATGTACGTGTCGACTAAATCCCTGATGTTACTTGGATCAAAGGTCCTTCTGTGCTCATCAATGACTTCTTGGTAGAAATTGAACATCTCTTCGCGGTTTTTTGCAATTTTGTTTCTGGCGTAAGCTTTTCCAGGAAGGTACTGGTATGTTGGTATGTAGTCGACAGTGTTGATTTCTCCAAAAAGGCGCATGCCTTCTTCGATTAACCAAGTGAACCGACGGAATCTGGGGTCGTCGATTGAGAACCGAACGGACATCATGATGTTGCAGATGACGTTGCTCACGGAAACTGCCAAAACTGGACTTAGATCAGTCGGTCTTCCGTTTGTGGCGTTCAAGGTGGAGAGCAGTTCGTGGACTTCAGTCTGAGGAGGAAAGAAAACAAGTTAGAACTATTAGTATCCGAAATAGTCATTGGAGTTAATGATGCAAATTTAACTATAACCATTTTTATAGTAATACTGAACTTACCATAATCCTGCGTTCCATCAGTTTCTTTCCGTTGCCCATATAAGTCATACCGAACTGTCGCAACTTGTCGTGCAAGAACCTTCTTTGATCCTTCCACAATTTACCTTCGCTGTTGATTATACCTAAAACAAAATAAATACACTTATAAATTTTGAGTACTGAGCACAATTCTGAGGAGAAAAGGAAACTGAAACGGACACTCTTTTGCAAAAAGAGTATCCCTACATGAGATCGTAGAGGTTAAAATAGAAGGAATGAAAGGAATGGGAAGGAGAAGAATGCAGACTATTGACGACTTAGGCGAGAAGAGAAATTACAGGGAACTGAAAGCCAAAGCACAGTATCAAGAAGCATGGAAGCAGAAGTTTGGAAACAAAAATATATGGAGTAAAAAAATGAGACGAGGAACGACAGTAACGGCAGTAATAGGAAGGGTAAGGAAATCATTTTTTGTGGTGGCTCTCACACAATGGACCTGCCTTCAGACAAACTACCATTTACTATTATTATAAATTTTACTCTCAAAAATAGTTATTGCATTAAATATTATGTATGTTATCGTTGATGAAAACATATCTTTGCGAGATATCAATGTACGCAAACGCACTGAGCCGTGACAACTGGTGGCTAAAAAATTATGCATTTATCATACAAAATACATATGTAATTTCACACTTAGAATATGAACTTATGGCCCGGTCGAACAAATCGCAATTGATAATTGACACATTGATAGAGATATATTTATAATATTATTATCAAATAACTCAAGTGTAAATAAATGCTTTGCTAAATTTGTGAATTGTAGAATTATAGCGCCGGGTAAAAGAAATCTTAGTCCTATTTTTTCTTATTTTTTAGATCTATAAAAGTTGAAAAATTTCAATGTAGTCAAAATTAAGTCGTTAAGTCATTAAGCATCTGCCTACTATTATCACCAAATTTTAAACTAGTGGTGTATGGCATCGTGTCTTAACGCAAATTGCTGGAACTTCCATTACTGTAACGAAATGCTAATATTAAATGTTTTCATATAGATTATTATAAATACTGTAACGTTAATATTTATAAGAGTTATATAAACTGAATTTCACATTTGACATTATTTGTTTGAAGTATATTAGAACAGAATTTAAATTAAAATCTGAATTATTTTCGAAATAACAAAAAATTTTTATTGAAAAAATAGAAACAAATTTTTTTTCGGAAGCAATTGTTATAACAAGCAGAAACTTTTGAATCATTCAAATCGGATGCTTAGTGCTCTAAAAAACTGCCATTTTTTGCACATTTAGCTCGATATCTCCGAAACGGCTGGACTTGCCTTTACGAAAATCTAATCACCACTTCTCACCAAAATGCTCACCATGCCAAAAATGTTCAGAAACCTTCAAAACGTCGAAAAATGCAAAAATTTTCATTTTCGATTTTTGGACCATTACTATAACTACCCTACGGAAAGTTAAAAAGTTGCTAAGTTTTCTATATAATTTACAAATATTTATAAATGTCAAATTAACTATATATACCATTGCAATTCTATAATTGAAGGTTGATCTATTTATATAAATCCGATGCAAATAGAATAGTTGATCTGACCTTATGCACATTGTCAACCGGCAATTTAGAGTCAAGGAATTATTATATTAAATTCCTATAAATAACCCCAAGATATGAAATATGCACTGAAGTAATATTCAAATCTAAATTTATTATCCTTTTTAACGTTATAATACTAAGATTTTTATTTTTATTTATTCTTTACATTACTACAGAATTGTTAAGTCTGATTTTTTCTCGTTTTAACATGTGGCTCACGCACAAAATTCGTTGCACAACAGAAAAAAGAACCGATCTTCAAGTTTGTAATTTGCGATTTGTCAATATACGTTAAAAGTTACGATCACACATGAAACATCATAGTGTCTTACAACACACAAATTATATATATATATATATATATATATATATATATATATATAATCTAATGTAATGTATACATCTTTTTTATGAGAAGCTGTCAGAATAAAATGACTGATTGCATGATCAGGTGTCGGTCGGTATAAAATTTAATATATTTTGCGATTTTCGAAATATTTTATTCGAGTATATTGCGTCTATAGTTGGGTATTTGTTCATACATAATTTGGCAATAAATGCAAAACAATATAAAATAAAAAAAAATTGGCAGTAATTTGTACTTATTTGTTGGGTAATTTAAATGGGAATTATAGTATATTTTTATTTATTGTAGACGATGCGCAAGTTTTGTAATTTTTGATTTTTTTTGTATAAAATTCATCTTAACTTAATTTCGTTCAATTTGATTCTTTTCGTACTTATAGTAGTGTTCATTTCATAACCATCACTGTTATTTATTTTTCACAATAGATATGTTAATTTTATAAAGAAAAGTTGAATGTCTTAAGTATCAAGGCAAAAAGTTTTTTAATTCTCTCTTCTATTTACAACTGTCTAGTTAAGGACATTTATAAATTTGTGAATTTTACAATTTTATTAAATGTCCTTAAGCAAAAAAGTAATAATAATTTTTTCGATAATTTTGATATTTTAATTTTCCATTTAAAGAAAAATGCAAAATTAAAACACCACGATTATCACTGAATTGTTATTTGATTTGTTTTTTTTATTTTATCATGATAACTATAAGGTTTACCATCATACCAGGACGTCCAATCACCGGATTGGCATTTGATTTAAACATTCTAATTGTTACCGATTCTAAGTATTACCAAAAATTTGCTGATGTTTATAATGGAATAAGCGCAAATAAAAAAGTTGAAAA